AAACGACACCAGATAATCCACAGTGTTTCCACGTAATCCATGTTTTGTTAATTGTATAATGAATAAAAAGAAAACAAATAGAATACAAAAAGATTAGAGAAGCAAGCAAGTTTTTTTTTAAAGAAAACAAGTAGTTATTAAATGAATAGAGTTCAAGTCTAAAAGGGGCAAGTTTTTTTTAAAGAATAGAATTAGAATAGAAAGTTTTAGAGTTAGAGGGTCAAATAAAGATGGAAGAGATGTGTATTTATACATGTGATCAATGTGGAAAGAAATTCAGACATAAAAGAAACATTAATGAACACATGCAAATTCACACTGGAGAGAAACCACACACATGTGATCAATGTGGAAAGAGTTTCAGACATAAAAGAAACCTTAATGAACACATGAAAATTCACACTGGAGAGAAACCACACACATGTGATCAATGTGGAAAGCGTTTCAGACATAAAGGACACCTTAATGATCACATGAAAATCCACACTGGAGAAAAGCCACACACCTGTGATCAGTGCGGGAAGAGTTTTGCACATTTAAGTACTTTTAAATCACATCTGAATTCTCATTCTGGAGAAAGACGATATAAGTGTGATCAGTGTGGTAAAAACTTTTCTCTGGCAAATTCCCTGAAGCACCACTTGAAAGTTCATTTAAAGGAGAAGCCTCATGTGTGCTCTTTGTGTGGAAAGAGTTTTAGTCAGCTGAGTTATTTAAGAAAACACCAGCAAAGACACAGCAATGTGAAGGAACTTAATGTGCTTTGATTGTGGGAAGACCTTTATTACAAGTGATGAACTGAAACAGCACCAGAGAATTAACACTGTGACAAGAGATTCATTTGGTCAGGAGCAGATTAAGGTGGTCAGGGGCCCCTAGGCTGCTCTTTGTGTGAGGCCCCCCTTAATCATTATGCTTTACTGGAGAAATGTATTTAGTGCCATTACATAGTCCACGCAAATAGTAAGGTGAACTGGCATGCACACTCGCATTGAGACAG